AACTCCATGTTAAAATTTAACTGGGAGTTGGGGGCCTTTAGAAGACCACTAGGGCATGGGAATTACCCACAGGAATGAATCAATGCCATTCTTGCAAAAAAGGCACAGGTTTAAGGGTGGAGCTAGACCACTTGGTCTTCTGTCTCCTGTCATGTGAAGTCATCCCATGATGCAGCAAGGTTCTTACCAGATGATGCCTCTGGAGCTCAACTGTCCTAGCCTCGACCATAACTGTTAGCCACATAAATTCTATTTTTTTATAACTTACCAAGTCTGTAGTATTTTGTCAAAAGCAGCAGAAAACAGACTAAGACAATGGGTCTAGAACATAATAGGAAAACAATAAACAGCAGCTATTTCTGTTAGAGACCATTCCTTTTGACTCCTCATTTTCTATCTATCTAGTATGGTATCTCAGTGTTCTGCTCTGGGATTTCTTTTCCTTGTTCTAGATGCTCTTCTTTGGCAATACCATGTACTTCCATGGTTTCATTTGACATTGATATGTCAACAACTTGTCTGAGTCAGTACCTCCTCCCCAGAGCTCATCCTTTATTTAGCCCTAGACTTACATTCAAACCACCTCTTCAACAGTCACAGAATTGCTCAAAGACATCTAAATTTAACAGTCACATACCAAGTTTTTTTTTTTTATCTTAAGCTTCTCCTTCTACTATCACAGAAAATTAATCTAATTTATCTAGGTGTTCACTTATAAACTCTAGGGCCGTAATAGCCGCTTCCTTCACCCGTAACTCTAACAACCAATCACCATTTCCTGTCTGTCACACAGTCAGTACTGCCATAACACTCCCTTTCAAAGTACAAACCTGCCCCAATGTAACTTATGTATTAAAGAATAATTTACCATAAAGTCAATTTTTATTTGTTTCTGTCATTTTTTTCTGAATGATATACTAGATGAGTCAGATGTGGTAATGTATACCTTTAATCCCCACACTTCTGAAGTAGAGGCAGAAGAATTCTAAGTGTTATGCCAGCCTGGGCTAAATAGTGAGATTCTGACTTACAAAGATAGAGGAGATTAAGGAAGCTAAAGTTGGTTAACTCTGCCAAATCATATAAAATGCAAGCAAGCACATCTATAACACCTAACAGCCACTAAGATCATCAGACATGCTACAACCACAACCTTCTAGTTACAATTTCCCATTTGACTTAAGATAGCCCTGCCCCCCCAACACACACACACACACACACACACACACACACACACACACACAGTAATTCACCAATTACCAACTACAGCCCTTATTACAGCCATTTCTACATGCAAACTTTTTTTTAAAGTCCAAAGTAAGTGCTATATTTATTATGGCATTTATATATTTCTTACTCATTTAGCTATGAGACCATACATTATCAATTAAAGTAGACATCTATCTTTCTTCGCTAGGCTACGATGGAGTTTCTGTGTGCTGCACCGCCTAGATCATTTCTACTGCATGACTTCTCTTAGTGTAAGAGATTTTGTTGTTTAGTTTGGTTTTTGAGACAAGGTCTTACTCTGTAACCCAGATTAGTCTTTAACTCTGTAGCTCAGGCTGGCTTTGAATTAAAGGCAACTCTCCTATCTCAGCCTTCTAAATTCTAGGATTACAGGCCTGAATGGCCACAATCAGCTAGTACTGGGATTTTTTAGGAACCTGTAGGTTTGTATCCTAACAGAATTGTTTACAACATTCATCATTCTACAATCCATCCCAGTTCTCTACCTTCCACAGCTAGACATATAAACCAAGTAACTACCATGTTCCACCTGGACTATGGCAATGATCTTATTTTACAACTCTCAAACCAGCAACAGTGCTTTCCAATCCCACCCTCCATGGGCTACTGAAGATCTGTGTGTATGTGTATGTGCATTCACATATTTTTTTTTCTTTTTTTGGTTTTTCGAGACAGGGTTTCTCTGTATTGTTTTGGAGACTGTCCTGGAACTTGCTCTTTAGACCAGGCTGGCCTTGAACTCAAAGAGATCCACTTGCCTCTGCCTCCTGAGTGCTGGGATTAAAGTGTGCCACCAACGCCTGGCAAGCATGCACATATCTGGTTGTACAATTATTAGAAGAGGGTCAAAACTGGTAATCAATAAGCAGAGGCCTGAGACTCTACAATTTCAGTAATGCTATGTAAACAATGGCTTAAATGTCCCACCTACAAACACCAAACCCATTTAGAAAAACCAGTAGCTGGTCTCTTGCAATTCTCTATACTGTAGTCACAGAATCTTCTTAAAAACCCAAATGAGGTGGACATAGTGGCTCATGCCTATAATTCCAACACTGAACACTAAGGCAGGAGGAATGTCAAAAGTTCAAGTCCAATTAGGCTACAGCATAAAACTCTGTCTCAATACAAAATAAAAAAATCAAATGAGTTCAATTTTCATTTTAGTACCCTTTTAGTATCTCCTCTTTATCCTAAAGATAAAAGCCAAAATCAAAATATGCTCTACAAGCTCTGGCATCTCCTTCCAGCTTTACCTCATGCCCCTTTCCTTTTCTCACATTTCCTATGCCTTGGTAGTCATTCATTCAATAAATGGAATTAAGTCTCTCTGTACTGTGAACCATCCAAAGTGATGGAGTTAGAACACATATGTGTGTGTGTTCTGCATACATGTATATTCTCCTATCCCCTAGTAACATCTCTAATCTCCTGGAAAGAGCTGGGAGCAGAGCTTCAAGTATTCTTTAAGTTGACAGCTCAATAAAAATCTAAGATCATTTAACAACATCCCAAATGTCAGCCACAGTGGCCTTTGCCACTTTGCTACAGGGGAAGTAGGTGGAGGTAGGAGACATTAAAACACGGTTGTTGAAAAGGTATTCTTTCTGAGGCAGTTCACAGTTTCTGATGGAGAGGAGAGCTGAAAAGACATTATTCCATTTCTTTGCAGATTAGAGCCTTGGGAAAAGCAGATGCTGAGTTCATATCTAGTGACTCACATAGTCACACACCTGAAACGATATAGCTGGGAGCTTGAAAGGAAGGGACCAGAAAGACCTCTTGTTTTCCCCAAGCCTGCTTGGATTACCTCACAAGATGAAAACATAAGGTCCGATGGGAATAGAGTCCTCAGTTTCCCTTTAAACCCATTCTTTTCTTCAGTATCTTGGCAGTCCAGTAGAGAACTGATTGAAAGGGCTCAAGACGGCCTGGAGCACCAAGGTGACCCTAGTGTTACCATATGGGTCAGCTGCTCTCCTGCCCTTCTGCCTAGGAACCTAAAGGCAGAGAGCTATCACACACCAAAAAGTCAAGTCAACTTCACAGAGCAATTGTTCATGGTCAGTGCCTGCCTCGCCTGGCCGGGTCTTCACATTGCATTTGTTGAGACTGGCAAGCAACCTCAGATGAGCTTTGACAGCTGGCACACTGTTTTCCTGGACAGCATGTCTGTGCACACAGGCATGCCTTGCTCCACCCAAGACAGTCTCTATGCATCTAGTTCTCAATGAGGAGGTGGCCAGCAAGCACACATACTCCGACACTAACTGACCCCAGTCCAACCACTGAGGACACAGGCAAGAACCAGGCTCGGTCTCTGTGCTGCAGATGGACACACCTGGAAGTAAACAAGCATGGACTTGTTTCTAACTGACTAAATTGATATCCCAAGTCCAGGGAGCCTCACAGCAAGAGAAGTTCAGCAGAAATGATGTCTGAACTGCATCTTCTAGGGGGACGGAATATGCCTGATGATGATGACAAGAGGCAAGGGGCACATTTCACGAAGTGAGACAGCCAGACCAAGGCTTGGCAGTAGGACAGCCTAGCCTCCTCAGTCAAAGATGAGAAGCAGTGTCAGAGACTCAGCTATGTAAGTGATCATCAGGAGGTGGGGGGCCAGGGAGCAAAAAGTACAAAGGATGCACACCAGGCAAAAGGAAAACAAAGCATGGGACCAAGACCACATCGTCTCGGTGTGGAGCAAATACTCACAGAACAAGTCCATCCCCCACCCCTCGTTCTTCCATAACCATGTTTAGCTTTGACCACTCGCACACACCAAGAGCAGGCTGCTCTTTCTGCCTACAAGGCAGTCTCCTCCTGGCATACCCCTGCTTCCTTGGTTATCCAGTATAAGATCCCACTCTTCACAGTATCTAATGTGGTCTTGCAATAGCCTCTTTTTCCTAAGCCGACAGGGAGCTTCCATCCTGACCCTGATGTGGTTTCCCTTCTTCAAGATTCCTGATAGTCACTAAGCGGACTGGCTGCCATCAAGTATATCCTGAAGCTGCTCCAGTGCTATTTTTCTCCATCAGAATGACATGTGGGCATCATTCCACCAGAGGTCTTGGTCTTCTGGAACAGTAATTCCTCTAGAGCAAAGAACCAAGAAGCCCAATTTCTGAATCATTTCTTCTGCTTACCTAGGAAGCACAGCACATGCTAGGGGAGGCTGATTTTCTGGGTGACTCATTCTCCATCAGGGAACTATCCTTGGCTATACAGGGTACTTTAAAGGCTCATACCCCCATGCTAACTCTCCAAGGTCTACAATGATGCATTAGTGCCAAGAACCTCCTTTATGCTCCAAGGGTTCTAGCTTCCACCTGCTGTCCTCCCTTACACTAACAAGGTTCTGCTAAGGGCCAGGTGAAAGCAAAGCCATTGTAGGCAAACACCTCTTCCAAACTAGAGGTGCACAGATCACACTCAGCAGTATATAAATTAGATCAATGAGGACCATGTTTCTCCTAGTGACAACACAGCTCAGCCCACAGATTCAGGGGGGGAAAATCCCTTTAACTAGGACTTCTATGTATGTTTAGAAGACACCATTCGGACTCCACCCAGTAGCCTGACTTTCATGCAGCTCCCCATCCCCCAAAATATTGACATTTCAGTGCGTAATATCCAGGGAAGAGAAAGAAGGAATATTGAGAAAAGAAAGACACAAGAGCTGGGGGAGAGAAAGTGTCTCAAGTACACAAGAACCAAAGGCCTTGGGGACGCTCAGATGGTACCTTTTTCAGATTAATCCACTGCTTGAAGTAATCCGCCACTGGCAAGCCTAAATAATGGCACTGGCCTGGGAGCCTACAAAAAAAAGAGGAGAGAGAACAAGTTGAAAACACACATGTCCCAAGTGTGGAGTCTTAAGCTACAAAGAAAAACAAAGAAAAGTCTACAAAACAGAGACACCACAGGTCAGCACACTGGCAGACCCCAGCTCAGGAAGCTGTCCCACCATCAGCACACGGATACCAGGTCAGAGCCATTCCTCAGAACCAAATATGAGTTCCAAGAGACATTACACAGACTAAAATCAACTGTTACTACTTTCTAATTTGTTAAATTCTATTCTTTTTTTTTTTTTTTTTTTTTTTTTTGGTTTTTCAAGACAGGGTTTCTCTGTGACTTTGGAGGCTGTCCTGGAACTAGCTCTTGTAGACCAGCCCGGCCTCGAACTCACAGAGATCTGCCTGCCTCTGCCTCCCAAGTGCTGGGATTAAAGGCGTGCGCCACCAACGCCCGGCCTAAATTCTATTCTTAACACATTAGGGTTCCTACTTACATTTTCCCTCAAAGTAATCCTGTGAGGTAGGTACTGTTGTATATTGTGGTCTTCCCGTAGGTACTGTTGTATATTGTGGTCTTCCCTACTGCCCTGGGGGGGTGTGTGTGTGTTTGTTTTAGATTTATTTTTTTATTTTATATGCATGAGTGTTTTGTTTGTGCATCAAGTACGTGCCTGGCACTGTCAGAGGTCAGAAGAGGATGTCAGATCCCCTGGAACTGGAGTAACAGACGATTGTAAGCTGCCATATGGATGCTGGGAAATGAACCTGGGTCCTCTGTAAGAGCAGCCAGTGCTCTTGACCACTGAGACATCTCTCTAGCCCCTGTTTGTTTGTTTGTTTGTTTGTTTGTTTGTGATAAGATCTCACTCTATAGCCCTGGCTGGCCTGGAATTCACTGTGTAGAAAACTCAAGAGATCTGTTTCTGCTCAGTGCTGGGACTAACGGCATACACTATCACATCCAGCTCCTGGTATGTGTTTGTTTTTTGTTTTTTAAACAGGGTCCCATGTAACCACCCTGACTACAACACCCAAATAATGGAATTAGAAGCCTGTGCTACTACACTTTCAGGCAGCATTAGGGTCAAACCAGGGTGTTAGGCATGCTAGGTAAGTATTCTACCAACTGAGCTACATTCCCAGTCCTCCAAAAGGGCAGCAAGGAAAGAGCCTTCCTTTTTTAAAAACTGGTATCCCGGGTATATATCAGTAACAGAAAACTGAGTAACACAGGGTCAGAGAAGGGAAAATGAATCTTCAAAAATTATAGAAAACGTCAGACGTGGTCGACATGCCTTCAACCCCAGCACTGGGGAGGCAGAGACAAGTGTGTCTCTGAGTCTGAGTTCAAGGCCAGCCTGGTTTACACAATGAGTTCTAGGACAGTCAATGCTACCTAATGAACCCTGTCTCAAAAGAAAATAAAGGAAATTACAGAGAACAAGACTTCCACACTTTCTTCCCAGAATCTTCCTAAAGTCCGAGAGCTCAGAAAGCTTCCCTCACCTGGTATCCTTCTCCAGGCCACAGGCCTTGTGTCTCTGCACGGCTCCTAAGAAGATAATGCTTCTTGAGTCAAGACTCTCTCAACTCATCACCCCTTTTCATGTTATCAGGCACCTGAGGTCACCTATGCCCTTTGACCCCACTTCCTATTACTTGTGGTTAGCCTAAATTCTGGAAGCATGTGTCCCTTTTCCACACTGGGCTGATACTTTTGTTTGTTGTGTTTTCAAGACAGGGTTTCTTCTGTATAACAGCTCCAGCTGCCCTGGAATTTGCTTTGTAGACCAGACTAGCCTCAAACTCACAGAGATCCACCTGCCTCTGCTTCCCAAGTGCTGGGACTAAAGGCATGTGCCACCATGTCTGGCCACAGAGCTGATTCTTTTTAGCTTAAAATCAAGTTATTAATGTCAAATATTATAGAGTGGCCAAAGAAGATGAAAGATGAGAAAACTCAATGGACTTCATAATATGGAGGTCCCAAGTGATCTTGGTGAGGAGAGTGTTAACATCAGTAGGCCAGGTAAGGAATGGCAGAGGGGAGAGTCAGAGACAAGGGAATGGAGAACACAAGTACAGACTCCTTTTCCTAGGACCTTTGGCTATGAGAATCCAGTTGAAATGACAAATTCACCTCAGAAAGTTGAAGGGAAATTCAGCCTTACCTTCATCATCCTTCAACTACTTGACACACATTAACAAGAAGCTGGGCAGTATCCTGAGCATAGGAAACCTCAAAGCCTGCCCCCACAGTGACACACTTCCTCCAACAAGGCCACACATACTCCAAAAAGCCATACCTCCTAATAGAGCCACCCCTATGAGATTATGGGGGCCAATTACATTCAAACCACCACAGCCCAGCAGCAGTCCTACGTGCTTCTCTGTATTCTATATCTGACTGAAGTATGAAGGGGTAATATTAATCATATTCAGGAGCTCCATGAATGAAATTTGCAGATCCAAGGAGAAGAGTAGGGTTGCTAGTGCTCCTCTGAATATTCCAGCCCTGTGACTCCCAGCATAAGCAGTACAAATATAGCAGGGCCCAGACTCAACTTCATGAAAGATAGAATCAAGAGGTAGAACTTGAACTTCCAGGTATCTCATGGGAAGATAGCTAGACATCTTTATCACACAATCCTACTCCAGCATAGAGAGCATAAGGTGGTTAGAGTGGTCACCATCCCCTACACAAATGAGGAAACAGATTTAGTGAAGAGAAAGGATTTTTCTCAATCATGCAACATGTCAAGACTAGGACTGGAAATGGACTATGAGGCCAACTGCACATATTCTCCTAGAGACCTTGACTCCTTCCTGAGAAGGCAAAGCTTGGAACCTTGTAGTGGTGGGTAGAATGGTGGATAGTGCCCAAGGTCACATCTGTATTCAACAGTCTTAGGTGCCAGCAGATACATGGTTCCACTAATCTGGCAAAGAAAAGGGCAAGGGCTCCTGGCACAAAGGGTCCAAATGCCGAGTTTCTACCAGATACTGATCCCAAGGAAAAGAGCCACTGGCAGTGGGCCCTGAGCTAGCCTGCGGGCATAAACGTGCAGGCAAGTTTATGGTGCCCAGGTCTCCATGCAGCTGGATACACTGGGCACAAAGCTCCCCAACTACCCAAACATCATCTGGTCATGCTTATTACTGTTGCCCAATGAAATTTTATGCACCAAGTCCACAGGTGTGATTTCCCCTTCTTTATGAGGGGTCGGAATGACATCACTGATGGCCAATAGAAAAGACCCAATTATGTCCAGGCCATAAAAAGGAATGGGATTTTACCCCACCAAATCAAAACTTCCCTCAGTTTCATGAATACAAGGGGCCCCTTTTAAGGACACCCCCCACCCCCACATGTGCACACCAGTCCTGCCTGTGGGCTCTAAAGCAAGGTACATGATCACTCTTCAAATGCTGTGGGCCTAGAGCCAGAAAGAGCCCTTCCTTGGCATTTACCATGTGACCTTGCTCATAGCACACTGGCCCTTCAAGTGACCAGCACAGAAGCTCAAACTCTATGATCAGACGCTTGCCAGGCTCCTCACTTCTGGTTGGGGAAGTTAGAGAAGATGGGCTCCTTCTCAAGTTTCCTGCTGATACTTTTAGATTACAAGATGAGAGCTTCTGCTTAGAAAGAAGAGAACAATATGGGAGGATGGGGCTGTAAGAAAATGTCTCTCCCCACAGACAGACAACAAAGCAAAGGGAGCCCCACCTTTTCCACCCCAGCCCTAATTCAGGCCTACCACCTGCAACTGAGCTGTTCTGGCTTGGTCCAGACAGCCTTGATAGCAAACAGGTGTGGCTAGCTTGGCGCCAGCCAAAGCAGGAGAGTAGCTCATTAAGGGAGCCCCCATACCCCACCCCTTGCTAATGGGTATGACCAAGGTGGAACCATTGTAAGCAGGAGCTCAGCTTTGAAGATTTGGTGAGCAGAACTTAGGGGAGTGCCACTAGGTTTGAGTTGAGGAGACCACAGAGGTTTGATAGACAGACTGGCAGGCAGATACCAAAAGGCAGGTCCAGCAAGAGAGAGGGCACCTGCGCTGGAAGAAGTTGTGGACATTATTCCTTAAAGGCTTTGCTCTCTTCAAATTTTAACCAACAAACCCACCTCAGGAGTGTAACTTTTTAGCAGACTCAGGACTCATAGAAAAAGCCATGGCACCTGGATCTCAGAATGACTTGGATTGTCAGTGCTGGTGGCTAACAGCACTGAAATGTGTACACACCACTCATCTGTAGAAACCATTGTGTTCCTGTGACATGTAGACAAGGAAAGTCTCAAAGTCATCAGTGGACCATGAAGGCACAGAGGTCCAGCTTTGGAAAGGAATGGGTCAAGAGAAGACAGAGCAAAGACCCTGCAAAGCGGCACCTCTGAGGTACATGCTGCTTCCTCTATTTGCCCGTTCTAATACAAGCACTCAGAGTGTTGTCACCAGCTGTCCTACATTTCAGAACTGCCACAATTCTCTATGCTATTCTGTTAGTGAAGAGGCTGAGCCCCAGGAAGGACATCACACCCATGACACCCTGTCTAGTGGACCACCTAGTCAAGAGTGCCATAGTCTACACGACATGAGTCTGCATCCAGCATGTGCCAGACACACCAACTCGAGCAGCACTTAGCTGGGGACATGGCTCTTTGTCTCTCCTGCTTCCATTCCCCACCCAGAGGAGATAAACAGAGCTCGAGTGATGAACAGCCCGCCTTTCACCATCACTTTTGCTCAAGTTGAGGAGAGTGGCTAGTGATGGATGGGCTGGAATTTGGTTATCAGGAAGGGCTGTCAGCCAGAGGTGCCTATCTCCTCCCCCACTACGCAGGGCATCATTACACTGTGGCATGGAGGTAAAATATGACCAAGGGGAGGGAAGGAAGGAAGAGGGGAAGGCTGGGCTTACAGACGGAGCAAATTGAGCAACAATGAGAGCAGGCATGAGGCTGGAACGTTAGTTATCTGCCTGTGACACCTTTTATCTCTGCACAAATTGGTC